CAATTTTGAAACTCTTACCTGAAGGGACATTTCTCCCCTCAAAAGGAGCAATATCTGCTTGAACAGTTTGATAGAAACAGCAAAGTATCACCACCCTTGGGACCCTGAGAATGACATCTGCCTCTATGCAGCTTCTCCCCCTCAGAAACCCTCTCTCCTCTTTTCCCCAACCCACACCTCACCACTAACCTTCGAAAAGACACAATGACAGTATTTGTGGCTTCTTTGGCCCCTGTACATGTGCAAAGCCTGTGTTATGTGGTTCAGCGGCAGAAATGCTGAGAAAAAGGCAGGAGGAGGGGCAGGTGCTGGAATATGAAGGAGATCTGGAGCATCTGCTCCTAGTGTGAACCCCAAGGGAGCAGCCCCCAGCTTTGCTCTGCCCCTGCTGGGAGCTTACGTGGCCTAGAAGTGACCATGGTGGTCACACCAGGGCTGGCCCCAGCTCACCTCATAAAACCCTATTCTGTCTCTGGGGCCCACACCTGGTTTCCAGATGTGATGGATCAAACTAGGGTCCTCCCATTCTCAGCAGTAGTAGGCCCTGGGGTAAGTCGCCTGATCTCATTGGGCCTCAGTTTCCTCATCCACCAAATTGGGACAATGATGGCCCCAGAGTCACACAGGTTAGCATGCGGTGTGAATGGGATGACCACTTAGGAAGTTCTCAGCACTGTGTCCAGGACAGAGTAAGTGCTCATGCATGTGAGACATGCCCTCTTAGGAAGGTCAAGAACATAAAGCTGCAGCTCTACTAGCTTCTGGGCTGCTGGCTCCACCCACCCTGAAGCTTGCCTGGACTGATGACTGAGTTGCTGGAGTTTTGCATACTTTTTCTTTTCACACCCTATTCCTACCCAAAAGTTCCTCTTTCAGTTGGGCTATTTTTAAAATGGTGATAAAAGCCATGGACCCAGAGCTAACCATGAGCTGGACCCTGTACTCCAGGTGCATCAGTTCATCCAGGCTTCACAAAAAGCTTCACAGAATGCAGTCGTTATCACCATCATCCCTTCCACAGCTGAGGAAATTTAGGCACAGAGAGGCTAAGTAACTCGCCTGAGGTCACCCAGCAAGTGGCAGAACTGAATACTTAATACTGAGACTAAATTCATATTCCTGAACCCAATGCTATACTGCCCTTAAGCCATCCGTCACCCCTGCTTATTCACCTGCACATTAGCTGTTGGCTGTAGCAGCCAGTCTTTGGGTCCTTCTGGAGGGAGACAGTGGCCAGGACTCCTCATTACCATGGTTGGTGTCCCAAAGCCTTCTGACTGCCGCAGGTCAGGTGTTATAGTATTCTTCCCTGAGTCACCTGGCCGATTCCTGCTCATCCACCAACACTCAATGGAAGGGTCATCTTCCAAAGTCCTTGAGTTGCTCTACTGGAGCAGTGATCCCTCTGTGTTTGGGCTGTTCTTTTATAGAAGTCTCTCCTGCTACTCCAAGAGCTCCTGGATGGTAGGGGCAAACTTGAGCCTCCGTCTGTGTATTCCCAGCTCGGCATACACAGTGCCTAGCACTCAACAAATGGTTACCCAATGGCTGGAAATTTAGGGTTAATGTATGGAACTCTGACCTTGGGTCTCTCCTATAGTCTCGGGTGGAAAAAAAAAACAGTTTGCAAATAGAAACCTCTCAGCCTGCATGTTTGGAATAACATGGTTTAACTCTGGATATATGTGTATTTATTTTAAGACACAATTTAAGCCCGAATTCTTCAGAGACTAAATTAAATTGGCTACTTCCCAGAACTGCTTGCTAAAGTGATGCTTCCGTGATCACAGTGGCTCAAACGTTTATTACGTCTGAAATATAGAGCGGTGAAAAAGCGGTCAGCTTTGGAGTTAAACTAGACCTAGATTTGAAATCAAGCTGTCCTGGTTACATAAGCTTAGGCAAGGTTGCTGCATCTGTAAACCTCAATTTCTTCATCAGAAAAGTGGAGTTAAATGCCTACCTCATAGGTTTGTTGTGAGGACTGACGTGAAACAGCTGGTATATAGTAGAGCTCTGAAATGTGAGTTTCCTTCCCAAGGAAACACATAGAGGGAGGGAATACCAATTGTAAAATGTTTTCTTCGTCCACATCACTCATTCTCTTATTCATTCATTTCATCATTCGTGCATTCAATTAAGCAATATTTATTGAGAACAAACGCTGTGTCCAGCAGGACGAGAAGGACTGTGGATATAGCAATAAGCAGCACAAACGTGCTCCCTGACTCATGGAGCCTGTGTGTCAGTGGAAGAGACAATCAACAAGTAAATAAATAAGTAAAATAACTACAGCCCAGGATAAATACTAAAACATATCTCTGGTGTAGATAGATGCTAAAGCATAAAGAGAACTAAAATAGAGATTAATCAAGGGTGGGGGCTGCTGCTTCAGGTGGCGTGGTCAGCTACAGCTCCTCTGGGGAGGTCACGTGTGAGTGACACCTGAAGGATGAGAAGGAGCCAGCCCTAAGGAGAGCTGGGGAAAGGCTGTCCAGGCAGAGATTACAGCACATGCAAAGGCTCTGAGGTAGGAAATTTCTAGAAATGGTTGGAAGGCCAAAATGCCTTGCACAGTCGGTGGGAAGTGAAGATGGGGAAGTGTGTAGTTTATAGGCACCCTTGCTGTGGGCATGCCCTACGTTTCTGCAGAACCTGAGGTCGGAGGATAAAGCAACAGGCTGAGATGGGGCAGCTAATGCAAGGAGGTGTGATTGGCAGTTTGTGGGAGAGAATGTGAACCTGCAAGTAGAACATAGACATGGGGAGAATCAGAGAAGAAGTGAAGAATCAGAGCTGGCAGACTCACCAGGGTTCCTCAGTAGGTGTGCATGGCTAAATGCTGGCAAAGCTGTTCCTGTCCACAGGCAGGCATCGTCAGGGCAAGGGGAGTGGTCATGGAGAAATGGTGTTCACAACGAGGACTTAATAGCCCAGGAGGGCTGGCCGATAGAAGCGGAGCAGGATCCCACTCCCACAGAAGTGAGCAAACTTGGCAGAAAACAGACCCAGCCAGAGGTGAGGGAGACAGAGGCACAGTTACCCAGCCCACAATGCAAGGTGGCCACCTCACCACCAGGTGTGAGGCACCTGCCTAGAGCCCACCAACAGAATCCATGCAGTCCAACTCCTGCTTGCTTCTCCAGCCCTAACTCAAAGCACGTGTCCCTTTTTTTCTCTACTCCAGCCACACTGGCTGCTTTCCAGTCTTCCTCCCACCACAGGGCCTTTGTACATGCTGTTCCCTCTATCTGGAACACTGTTCCTTCCACTCTTTACCTAGTTAACTGCTTCACTGCTCCAGGATGGCTTCATAGCACCTTTGTGGCACTATACCTTGTTTCAACGTAATTTTTATTTGTGTAATTATTGGTGAATGTCTGGTGTAAGGTCCGAAAAGGAGAAAAATCAAGTCTGTCTGGCCTCACCACTGCATTGCCCAGTGACTAATGCAGTGCTAGTGCCAAGTAGTTAATGAAATAATTAATTAATTGAAAATGCCAGTTTGGCTTCTGAGTAACTGGCTTAGAACAGTGCTTCTCAAAGTGTTGAGCTGGAATCAGCAGCAGCTGGAACCAGCAGCAGCAGAAGCAGCATGAACTTGTTAGAAATGCAAACCCTTGGGCCCCACTCCAGACCTGGTGAATCAGAAAGTCATAGAAGAGGAGAAGGTTTGCAGTTGCCCTCCAAGTGATTCCAATACATGCTTAGGTTTAAGATCTACTGACCTAATTCTCTGGTTCTGAACTTTCAGGTGAGATTTAAGAGGACATACCTGTGCAGATAAGCACTCTATTAGGCAGAAAGCTAAGCAGATCATTTTGGATGAGCCTTGGTAAAGGGCTGGATTTTGGACATGACTTAAGGGCTTTTGAAGGGCATATGGACATGGGCCAGCCGACTTAGTGTTTGAACCCAAGAGGTGCAAGTGCAATTTCCTAGTTAGTGACACGGTGGAAACAGGACCCAGCTGTTGACATACTGCAATGCCTGAACTTTGTTGGGGTGAAGGTGGGGGGAGAAAAATTGAGATATTTTCTATGACAAGATAATCCTGCAAACTCACAAACCTGAAGAAATGCCATTCTTTTCTGAACAGAGCAGGGCCTAGCCACAATAGGGATCTTTGTGGATGTGAATATCTCCCCTACGAGCTCCAGATTTTTCCTATCCCACAGTTCCCTCCTGTATCATAGCTTTTAACAATGGAAGCCCAGTAAACATTTGTTAAATGTATTAATGAGTGAGTGAATGAGGGAATCAATAAATGTATAAATTAATAGAAGAAGAGATCAACAAATGTTCTGTCTGTCTAATGGACTGCAAATGTGGATTCTCTCTACTCCACAACCTTTCAGTGAAGATCCTCTCTGTTTAGCCCTCTTCCTCTGAGAGTCAGTTTTAGGTTGGACCTGGAGATTGGACAAATAGATGCTTGCGAGTTAGATTAATGTGCCTTCATTTCTTCATCGAGGAGGGAGATGGAGAAGAAAGAAAGCAAATCCCTTGAGACCAGCAGCCCCTGAAGACAGGGAACATGGCTCTATCTCCAGCACCTCGGACAGAGCTTGGCTCACAAGCCATGCTCCACAAATATGAATTGTTAATCAACATACTGAATGACTGCCATGTGGCAGGCCTGGGCCAACCATTTTATTCTTATTACAAAGAAACATAATAGCTCCACTTTACAAAGGAGAAAGCTAAGGCTCAGAGAAGCTGAGTGAGGCAGCTAGATACAATCTCAGACCCTCTCACTCCAATGCCCACATTCTTTCTTCTGCCCCAGGCCAATTCCTGATACAGCTACTAGCCAGATTCTTAGCTCCCTACAGCTTTATGGAATTCTTATACTTGGACCCAGGAGAGGTCTTCTTCTCTATTTATTGCTACTCCTGGAGCTCTCACTGATCAAACAATATGACACAGGAAGAGGAGAGGATTGACAGTTTGGTTGCTGACAGGCTACAGTATTTTTGTTTTGTGTTCTCACCATCTAGAATCTCTGCTGAAGGTGTGGACATTGTCCTGGATTGCCTCTGTGGGGACAACACTGGAAAAGGTCTCAGTCTTCTCAAACCCCTGGGAACCTATATTTTATACGGTGAGTGCTAAACAGGAACAAGGACATGATCAGGGACCAGGAACGCTGCATGTGTGCCTACACACAGGGCTCTGAAAAATGATGTTTGACGATAGTAAGATTGAGGTTGTTTAATTTTTTTAATGGTTTCTGTAATATTGCTGTTGCTGTTAGTTGTTTTCAATTATAAAAATAGCATGTGTGCCCGCTGCCCTATTACTCCCATGAATACTTCTCATTTGTGAAAGGGGTAAAGCCAAGCCAATATTTCCATGGAAGTGGATGCATAATTTAGTATGATTATTACTGATGAGAGAGCCTGTGAGAGTCAATGCACATTGTCAGGACATCAGATATATCTAACACATGAGTCAAATGCAGGCGGATACTGGATTCATGCTTACTTATTCACCAGGACTTCTATTTTTGCTCCAGTTCCAAGATGTTATTCTGGTGAAATTCAACTTGATTATCTCACAATTGTCTAATTCATCACATTGATGTCTTGGTTCCTGGGTAATTGAAGCCTGGTACTGTGATGTCTAATGGTAGTCAACCCATAAAAGCAGAAGCAGTGGCTACTGGTTTACCCAGGTCATATAATTAAGTTTAAAATATACAGTGGTTTTCATTAAATAACTGTTATCTGAGAAAAACTTACTTCCATATCTTTGTGGACAAGGCAGGAGAGTCTTTGAAAAGGCACCAATATGGTATCTGAACGTTCCCAATACTGTTAAGAGCTCTCTCACCCCCCTGCCCCACAAAGAACCCCACAAAAAAGAACCCCACAACGGGGTCTTTTCTCTCTGCATGAGCTTCTAACAGAATCTTTCCCAACTCCACATCCCATCTGTCCTCCAAATATTGCTTGTTCCAGCTGGCAAAGCTCAGTTTCTCACACTATTTGTCTCAAGTCGTTTTTACTTTTCTGCCCAGACCTCACTGGAGCCAACATACTTACTGGTTACACCATATCCTGGCTTCAGAATCTACTTTCATCCTCATCTGCCACACCCATCTATATTCTAACTCAGTCCTAACTCTCCCATTAGTTAAATCCCCAGCCCAGGTCAGCCCAAGTACTTGCTGGGAAGTCAAATTTGGAATCATAGAGTAGAATCACTAAGGAATTTATTTTTCAGTCTCAAAGAACAGAATCAAGAAGACATTTCAGCAACTTATTGGTTTATAAAAACATTGGCATAGATCATACTTTTGCTACATGCCTAATTTTCCAAAGTAATGAAATGGTCACTTCCTCTGATCCAGTGATGCCTAGCAACAATAGTCACCTTGATGTCCTGCTCTCATTTCCCTCATTTTTCCAAGGCTGAATTAAATTTTGCTTTCAAGCTCTTGCCAGTTCTAGACCAAACAACTTCCATTCTTCCATGTGTAACAAGAGATGTTGATTTTCACCAGCAATTGCTTGATTTGGGAATCTTCCATTTGCAGGTTCATCCAACATGGTTACTGGAGAGACCAAGAGCTTCTTTAGCTTTGCAAAATCAGTAAGTATCCATGCACATCTAATGTACTATGGTGGTATGCTGATTCGCATGTTATGACTTGCATCTTAGGACATTGACCTAATCTTGTTTGTTTTCCATTTGCATCATTCATTTTCAATAAAGCATGAATTCCACCTGCTCATTGCATATGGGCAGATATATGAACCACTTTTGTCTAAAGGAAGCAGAGAGGTGGGAGTGTTGGTGAAACTCAAGAAAGCTTTATTCTGATTTCAACAGAGATTGCTTAAGTCTAGGTGTTTTTAATCATCTTTCAAAAATGAACTTGGTATTAGTGCATTTTATTTGCCTCATAGAGAGGCCAGACTCAGTTTGGGCACTTTCTGACCAGGTCTCTGGGGGTACTTGAGAATTCTCTCTGTCTGCACCCTACTGAGGTAGAGATACAAATGGGGATCCTACAACTTTAACAGGTTCACGGGTTGATTTTTAGATACAGGCAAGTTTGTGAACCACTATCTTAGGTGATCCTGCTCTGGATATGGTGATGACTTTGTCTGCCATAGAGAAGCCACATCCATGGGCATTCAGCCCACTACAGACCTCCTCAGATCTATGTTCCAGTCTAGAGCTATACTTTCAAAAATTAGACCAATTTGGTCTTGAACTTCAATTTTGACCCCTCCCACCCACCACAACAGGAAATGCTGCTTGTCACCAGTGCTTGCTTTTGGTCCCTCTCTTCCCAGCCTCCTAGGCAGCCAGTGCAGCATTCACTCATTCACTCACTTCACAAGCATTTTCTGAGCACCTGCTGTTCGGGGCACTGTGCCAGGCACCGGGGCATCACAATGGATGAAATAGGTGCATTTGTGGCTTTTACATTCTAATGAGGGAGACAAACCCAAAACAAGTAAGACATACTAATAACATGATTGTAAATGGCTGTCAAACCTCTGATGAAGATAAAAACAGGGTGCTGAAATAAAAAACAGCAGGATGAGGTAGAGACATGTAGAAGAGGGTGGTCAGGAACCACTATGGTAAGGAGGTTAAAATTCATTCTAAGTGTGGCACTAGGGAGTATTTATATGCCCCCTAAGTGCCAACGCTAGCTACCAGAAACTTCACCCCAAAACATTCCCTAATTCTGAAATGGATAGTATTCCCTGCACTTGTGAAATTGGAAAGAAAGGGCCTCTGTACATTTGGCCTTTAAAGTCTGGATCGAGGATCACCTCGACGACAGAATCTACAGGAGGAGCAAGAATGGAGTCTAATGAAGGATGCTTTCTCAAATGTGTCCTCTGAAGACAAGCTTTGTAGCACTCACAGCTGTTTTGTCTCTGTGGCTGTAATTTACATGATGCTGATAGATTGCTGTGGGTAACCACAGTGGTCCCAGATAACATACAATTGTAAGAAGTGTTTTCCATTTCTCCCCTAAATGCGCAATCCCAACACATAATGTTAACAAAATAATTGCAGCGTGCCCGTGCTCAGTGAAGGCATTCATAAAAACACAGCCGGAATGGAGACTGAGATCCCTCTTCCCAAATCAGAGGTGTTCATTACAAGAATGCTTTGTAGCTGAAGGTCAAAAATAAAAACTGTTTGGGGCCGGCCCGGTGGCGCACTGCTACAGTGCGCCGCTTGGGAGCATGGTGGCGCTCCCGCCGAGGGTTCAGATCCCACATACCGACCAGGTCCCGCTCACTGGCTGAGCGAGGTGCGGGCGCAGCACCGAGGTTTGCGATCCCGTTGCCGGTCCCCGGTCCGGTACGGGCGCGACACTGAGGGTTGCGATCCGTTGCCGGACACGAAAAAAGACAAAAAGGAAAAAAAATAATAATAATAAAAAATAAAAATAAAAACTGTTCCCTTTCCAAGTGCTGGTCCAATGCTAGCCGGTCAGTTAGAAGTCAATTGAAGAGAGGACATGCTAAGTAGTGGGATGATAACTTTGCTCCAGAAGGTTCTAGAAAAGTTCTTTTCCAATGCATTCAAGAAAGGTTTAGAAATTAAAGGCATATTTGGAATTATACAGAGATTTCTCACTCAGCTGTTTTAAATATGTTCCATCTTTAAAATGCTGAAGAGCTGGCACTTCACTTCTTATCAAATGTGCCGTTTGCTTTCACACAATAATGATGATAATACTAACAGATGAAGTTACCATTTAGGGAGCAGTCTGACTCCCAATTCAGAGCTCTTATTCACTAAACCAAAAACATCCCTTTCAAATTAAGGTGATAATAGAAATGGTTTATGTTTATAGAGCACCTAGTACATGTCAGACACTGTTCTAAGCACTTGACATGTATTAACACAACTCCTCACAACAACCCCATGAGGAACAGTGAGGAAACTGAGCACAGAGAGGTTAAGTAACTTGCCTAAAGTCACACAGCTAGTAAGTGGCAGAGCTGGGATTCAGAACTAGGCATTCAGCTCCAGAACTCTTAACCACAACTGTGTAGCACTGTAGATTCAGCAAGCATTCATTCCACAAGCATTCACTGAGGCATTGTCAATACACTGCGAATCAGGTTATTCATGATTTTTCTACCTTTGCTTTGCACCAAGAAGCCATGACCAAATGCATGGCTCTTCTCAAGCTGGCCGCCAGGCCCTCACCAAATGTACTTTGGTAAAGAATTTTATATACAAGCCTCCTCCTTGTTTTTGACCTGCCTCTCCTACATTTTGCTGACCACATGCATTTCCAAATTTAAAAAGTCAAAATCTTTTATGCGTCTCCCTCCTCAATTCTTTCTGGAAAGAGGCAGCATATGAATAAACACATCAACAGCACAAGTACTATAAATGCCATGTGTCCATCACATTCCCCTTTGTATTCTATATTGAAACTTATATTAAACCTTTTACTTCTTAGAAGCCTCTAGAAACTGGAAGCTTGAATTTCTAACCTATAACCAGCACCAATGGAAAAGCAATTAAATCAGAATAAAGCAGTAGGATAACCATTCCTGTAGGTTATTAATGAATTATTTACTTATTTTGATGTCTGAAGGGGGAGAGATGAGAGACTAGAAGAGACAGCCACATTTACAGTTGTGTGTATCCACCCAGCACTTTAGTCCAGGGCTTCTCAACTTTAGTGCTATTGGTATTTTGAGCTGGATAATTCTTTGTTGTGGAGGCTGTCCTGAGCATTGAAGGATGTTTAACAGCATCTCTGGCTTCTATCCACTAAATGCCAATAGCTCATCCCCCTGTCCCCAGACATCACAACCAAAATTTTCCCAAACATTACCAGATGTCCCCTGGAGGGAAGAACTGCCCTCGTTTGAGAACCACTGATTTATCCCAGCACTTTGGCTCACCACACCTTCATGCTGTTCCTTCTTTCTAAATTTGCCTTCCTTACCTTTCTTTATCTGATAGATCCCTACCCACCGCAAGTTTAGTTTCGTCATTATTTGCCCCTAGGAAAACTGCTCGTACAGTGACAGGGATGACCTCCACCCTGCCCCCACCACACTGTGTAAACTTCTCTGCTATCCTCCTCCCTTCACCAACCCCACTGTCACCACCGCCATTCACTAAGCCAAGTGCTTTCCATTTAATTCTCCCTGCAGACAACAGAGGCCATATCTTGCCAATGTCATCAGTTGAGAAAAATGATGCCCAGAGAATAACGGGCAGTAAGTTGTAGAGCCAGCATTCAACTCGGAGCTGACAACCCCAGCCATACACTTAATGGTTCAACTACACAAGCCCTGGTAGTTGGTTGGGGCTCTCTTTCCCCCTGGATCCTGAGCTTTTCATAGTATCACTGTCTATTGTTTCCCGTGCACTTGCAGCAGTGCCTGGTGAAACAGATGCTTTAAAAAATACACCAACGAGAGCTCACTCTTGGCCAGCTGGGGTCTGCCACCCTGCAGCCCCGGGCTCCCCCGCAGTAGCTGCGAGCCTTGGCAATGCTGCACATGTGACCGGCACTGAGTTTTGGTAACCCCACACCTTCTCTCCTTCCAGTGGTGGCAAGTGGAGAAAGTGAACCCCATCAAGCTGTATGAAGAGAACAAAGTCATCGCAGGGTTTTCCCTTTTAAATCTGCTCTTCAAACAGGGCCGAGCAGGCCTCATTCGAGGAGTGGTGGACAAACTCCTGGGGCTCTACAGCCAGAAGAAGATCAAGCCCATGGTGGACTCCTTGTGGGCTCTGGAGGAGGTAAGAATGGTGTTTCTCCTCAGCAAATAACCTACTCTCTTTTTAAGTCAAACAGGTTTGGGCAGCTAAATACAATCTTTTATGAAATAATTTTTCTCTAGGTTTGTTCGTTTTAAATGCAGTTCAAAAGGTCATTGTTCCATAGTATGGTGCTTTGGATGTAAGAAGTACTATAAGTTCCTTGTGGTTCTCAAACCACATGCCTCACCACACCATCTTGCCATGAACCTTTTCTAGGAAGACTACCAAATTTTGATGCATGCATGCAATTCACCTAGGTTACAAGAGCGTGTTCATTGTTGCAGCATCATGTATATTGTCATCTTGTGGATGTATAAGAGATGAAGGGCAGAACAGACAATGGCTCAGAGCTGAATTGATTTGTGAGCTGAGCCTGGATGCTCTGAGCCCTGCAGGACATTAGCTGTCACAATGGACCTTGTAATTATTGCTGAATTGTTGGGTTTAGTGTTGGATTGAGTCTTTTTGTTAACTGATCTGCCAAAAGTTGTAGTATTTGAAAGCATTCCTTGATCATGGAAAAATGAAGAACCTCTAATGTAATCTTTAGCAATACCAAAGCAGGAACTGGTTGTATTTGTTCATATGGGACTTGCAGGGAGGAGGCAGGGTCTAGGAAATCCTTCAGGACAAAGGAAGGTTTGGGCATTTGGGAAGTAAGTCATTCAGCTACTTAGAGGAGAAATGAAGAGATGGGGCTTGGGTTTCAAGAGGCATTTCACTAAGAAACCCCTCTAAGGCAGAATTTTGTAACCTTGACTTTAGGGAGCCATGAAGCCCCTGAAAAGTATTTTAAAATATGTGGTAATATGTTATTTTGTTTGTCTTATATTTTGTATTGGTGAGGTGTCTTATGGTATGAGTACTTTTTTGTACTTTTGGGAGTCAATAAACACCTTTTAAAAATCTAATAAACACTAAGTTCTATTGAACAGATAGTGGGTATGCTTCTGGCAAGAAGGCTATTGCTATCTGTCTGATGGACTAAGTTGTTACAAATCTAATGGCTTCTCTAAGCATAGAAATCCCTCAAAGAAGGCTTTGGGGTGGTCACTGTGCGATCAAACACAACTGATCTTGGATCTATGGGCCAGGAATGTGCCTATGTACCTCTCTCTAATGCTGCAGTATCATGGATGGTCTTAAAAACCCAACCACCAAAAAACCTTGTTTGTTATGATAAAAGAAATACATGCTCATTACAGAAATTTCTAAATTAGCCAAAAACACAGGGAGAAAATAAACAGTAAGTCACATTCCAGAGAAGGATAATATCATTAACATTTTGGTTTGCTTCCTTCCAGTCTTTTTTCTACTGCAGATTATTCAATCTATTGCTAAGTCAAATTATATAATCATGCATGCCTTCTGTTGTGTAATTACCAAGATGGTTAGCCTATCATTATAAATTTCTTGAAAAGGTTTTTAATTTAATGAGTCAGACTTCCATATGGTATTCACTATGGCATCTCAGTGGAACAAGGTAGGGCTGCCCTACATGGTTACTGGACTCTCAACAATCAGAAAGAAGAGAAAACTGGGAAGAGTCAAGACAAGACCAAGGCTAAGAGATTAACTTGTCCATGAGGCAGAGAAGGGGACTAATGCTTGAACTCAGTGCCCAAAGGGACCCAACAGATCTGATAGCATTTAATCAAGGATTGAAATCCAAGCTGGGTCCAGTTGACCCAGTGGGCTCTTGTTCTAGTATTTGAAATCACTTCTTGGTCACAATGGTAATTGAATCATCAAATATTTATTGAATAACTACTATGTGCACAGTACTGTGTAGGTGCTGGAGATACAATGGTAGACATACAGCCAAGATCCCTGGACTTCATGGAACTCACATTTAGAGTAGTGGGAAGGGACAGGAAATGCTGAAGTAAATGAAAATAAGCAGGGTAATTGCCAATTGTAATAAGTTCTTGGAAGGAGATAAATTAGGATATATGTTGGGGACAGTGGGGGAGAGAGTTTCCACAAAGCAGTTTCTCATCCTCTTTTTCACTGTTGCTCCCTCTAAGGAGACTTTTTTTTTTCCTTTTTGTCTTTTTTACTGACCGGTAACGGGATCGCAACCCTCGGTGTCGCGCTCGTACCGGGGACCGGCAACAGGATCGCAACCCTCGGTGTTGTGCCCGCACCGCGCTCAGCCAGTGAGCAAGAACCGGTCTCCATATGGGATCCGAACCCTCGGCGAGAGCACCACCACGCTCCCAAGCGGTGCACTCTCCAGTGCGCCACCAGGCCGGCCCTAAGGAGACTTTTTAGAATTTTTTTTTTTTTTTTTTTGCCTAATCAACCACTCCTACCATGAAATTTTAAGACACATATATATAATATGAAGGTGCTTCAAAAAGTTCATGGAAAAATAAAATTAGATAATGTGAATCTTTCCATGAACTTTTTGAAGACCCCTGCATATATGTGTGTGTGCATGTGTGTGTGTGTACATATATATGTATGTTTACATCCTGTATGTATATTTTATTAAAAGAGTAAGATTTTTTTTCCATCCCCCAGGAAGCAATTTTCACCCCTCTGGGGGTGACATCACGCTCATTGGGGCTGTGTGCTGTACGGGTGAATTTAAAGAAGGTGGGTTCTCTGAGTAGATGGCATTCGAGCTGGGACCTGAAGGAGGCTGAACACTGAAGGAAGAGCATTCGAGGCAGAGAGACCTTCAAAGTGAAGGGATAAGGAAGGAAAGACCTTGGTGACATCCAGGGGTGCATTGTTGTGAGCCGGGGAGGGAGTGGCCTGAAAAGGTCAGCAAGAGCCACATGGAATGTGGCATTTCACTCTAAGTCCCATGGGAAGCCACTAAAGGGTTAGAGTCAGGAGGTGAGGCAGGTGGTCCCCAGGGCATTATGCGTCTGGGAAGAAGCTGAAATGGCTGGGCAGAGTCTGGGCACTACAGAAGTCTGATATTCAGAAGATCTCATTCCAGCTAAGGAATGGGAAAGGCACCCTAAACCACAGAACATGAAGTCTCATAATGGGAAGCTCACGTGTCCTTAGGAGTGTTTGACAGGCACGATGGTCCACGTGGAGCTGCAACCTTGGTGTGAGGGGAAAACAGGGCTCTGTGCATGCTGGAGTTGTCAGGACTGGCTCAAGGGCTGCATGCCCTGAGCATGCAGAGCCAAGGTGCCCAGGACAAGCACTAACTACAGATAGGCATATCAAGACTGGCAGCTGGCAGGCTGAATCATGGACCATACACGAGCAAGTCCAGGACTTTACCTTAAAATTGCTTCTGAATCACATGCTTCCTTCCACCTCCACTCTCAGCACTGTGGTCTAATCTGGACTCTGTCCTGTGAAGGGCCTCCTGAGTGGGCTCTCCTAACATCTTGCCCCTCTGCAGGGCATCCTCTGCCCAGCTGCCTGAGTGGACTTAGCAATACCCGAACCAGATCCTTTTTCTCCTACTTAAAATCTTCCCACAGCTTCCTACTGTACTGAAATACAGTCTAAATCCCTTACCGAGGTCTGCACGGTCCTGCCCAGTCTGACTCCTGCCCACCTGTCAGCCTCACTTGGTACACCTCACCATCTCTGTCTAAGCTTCAGAAGTCTGCATGTTTCTGGTCCCCGAACCCACCCCGGCCTTCCCTGTCCTGTGCCTTTGAACCTGTTACTTCCTCTATTTTGAATATTCTTCCTCCTGATCTTTGCCCATCTGCCTCCTTTTTATCACTCACGTCTCTGCTTCCATATGATCCATGCAGAGAGGCCTTCCCTGACTCCCCTCTTGGATACAGCATCCCTCACAGCCACCTCTGCCCGCGTCCTTCTCTCTCCCTTCACACTATTTGATATTCTCCATTATACTTATCACTGGTTGGAATTATCTTGTTCATTTATTTATCAACTAGTTTAAACTCTTGTTGTCTTTCCACTAGAATGTAAATCCTATGTGATGAAAGACCTAGACTATGTTGTTCCAGACCCCAGAGCCCAGCACAGAGTAGATGCTCAATAAGTGCATATTACATGAATGAATTAATGAATCCACCAACACACAGAAGTATGACTAGTTGGATGTTTCCTATGTTTAACAACAAATATTTGTTGAATGAATGAATGAATGAACAAGCTATACTATAAAAAGATATTACTTCAAGACAGAGTTTCTCAAAAAAAAAGTTTTTACTTTCTGGGTATGATTGACATTTTGGGCTGAATAATTCTTTGTTGGAGAAGAGGGGCTGCCCTGTGCATTGTAGGATAGTTGGCAACAACCCTGGCCTCTACCCATTAGATGCCAGTAGCACGTCCTATCACCAGCAGCAGCAATTTAAAAATGTTTCCAGACATTATCCAATATCCCCTGGGCAGGATAAGGGTGGGAGGCAAAATCATCCCCAGTAGAGAACCATTGCTTTAAAAGAAGCCATGGTGGTTCATACAGTCACCGGCAAAACAAAGGAACAGTAGATCCCTGTAGCAGGTTAGTCCTCCACAAAGAGGAGACAGACGGCTGCTGCCTGTTTGCCAACAAACGCATCCACAGCAACTCATCAGGAACACCCACCGGCTTTCTGAGGGTTTTCTGCAATATTTACAGACATCTGTTTAGAGCTGCAGTTAGACCAAACTTGGCTATTTATCAAGCCCACGCAGCTCTTCTGGGCTTGAAGAGAGTACAGCACGCTTATTGCTTGAGAATCTCAGAAAGAGGGCTCAGGATTCCCCTGCCCCTTTGGTAGATGATTGCACAAATGTGCTCTTCAGGCCAGCTCTATAACTTCATCTATGGAATATGAAGCCCACGGGGACTGGAAGAAAATTTTCTTGAGTACTCTGAGCCCTCAAACTAGTAAATTTAATAATATCAGAGATGATGAAGGTTTCTTTTGAGCCATCTGTCTTTGACTTTATTGTAAATTTAATACACAAAGCAGAAGGGGTATATGGCAGCCTCAGGTTTGATTCCAGATACTAAATGTGCAGCTGTATATTAAGTTGGA